TCACTTGTACTTTTCAAATACTACATTGTTTTGTACACATAACATTGGTTAGTTAGTGGACAAACAATATAATACGTTTTTCATGTGCATTTTTTGCAGTAAACAGAAAATATACAGGATTGGTCAAAAAGTAAATGTTGGTCCCAAGTTTCTAACTAATGTCATATTTTTTATAAGAACAAGAATAAAAAACACTAATTTAAGTTTAAAACGAACAGAGAAGTAACTTGGATGATTTAAAATTTAGAATTAGATATGAAATGAGGCAAATTAATGAAAATATCCGGAATAATGTTTTGTAAAGGGTTTTAAAGTGATTAGCACATTGTCACGAAGTTGACTGTGGGTATTTTGAACACCTAATAAAATAACATGCCCCGTTTCTATAAATTTGCCCTCAATGTCACTCACTGTGGATTTTGTAATGGCCCTTTAAAAAAAATTGAGTTCTCGTTTCGTCTCCATATCCAATAAAAATTAAAATTTTAAAATTTATTGACATAAATGAGATTGGGGCGATTTAAGAACTTTACTGATACTAGTACACTGTTTTTTATTCTTTTGTTCGTTAAAAATAGAAGATAGGTATAGCGTAAATATATCTCTTAATTTCTCCTTTGTGATATGTACGGGGCTGATATTCTTAGAGAAGGCGATCTACTTCAGTGGTCAGTGTCGACTCCTTAAAAATAAATAAACGAAAAGCCCTCTAAAATTCTTCTTTTATTTTTCAAACCTAAACAACCTATTTTGTGAGTGAGTGACTTTTGGTAAGGTTCAACAAGTTGAATATTTCGTAATATTAACAAATAAACGTTTTTCCATTATAAAAATGCTATAAACTATTCCAGAAAAGTGTAGAGTAAATAAATAAGGAATCCCGTCCGGTTCGGCTCAATTTTGATGTCGACATTTCATTTTGAAGTATTCTTCCTTTTGTTCCTTCATTTTAATCTCGAGTTTCTCTTTAAACATGTTTGTGGTATTGGTCGTTTTTAGTCTCACTTCGTTCATCCCTTAAATATTCCTGTTTTGTTTCTTATTGTTTTTTTAAGCATCTCTTTACATGACTGCATGGCTTCATCATTCTTCAGTTAATAATGGACTGATCAAGTCGTTAGCTAAAACATCAGATTTCTTACCTAATACTACAATAAAGGAAAGTCCAATAACAATATAAGGAGACCTATACTTTACTGTAATGTAACCAATAAAGCGAAAACATAAATTAAATTAAAGTTGAGAGGATACGCAAGGGGACACAAATTTATTTACTAATTACAATTACCAAAGTAGATCAGGAATAACACTAATAAAATAAAAAACCACAATAAACTTTAGATCCAATATTAAGTCTAAAACTAATAGAAATACTCAATAACTAGATGACTAAAACAAACGAAAAAAATAATCACTGGAAACGTTAACTAAATTCCAATCCAATTGAAATTATGAAGAACCTGACGCAGGAGGATCCTAAAGGGAGCAAAAAGATTCATTTGGCAGTGATCATTAGTTGATTTGGAAATAAAAGTTTTAGTAGTTAGTTAAATGGATTGGCAGGTGAAAACTGCCAGTTGCCCTAGTAGTCCTAGGTGAAACATGAAATGCAATGTGAAGTTTATGAAGTATAGTAGTATTATAGAAGGTTCTAAGATATCTTATGGCGCATTCTAATGGGAACCATATTTAACCTAGCCAATAAGCATGTTCAATTTACATTAGTTTCAAAAACTTGTGTTCAACCTGTTGAAGAAAAACCCAAAGTCCACCATAAAAGGGAAATCACACGTAAGAGACGTACTCCAGATAGGAGCGTACTAGGGCCCCTTATATGTACGCAAAGCATCTGGCATTTTTTTAGCAACAATATTTAAGTGATCTGACAAATGGAGACTTGCATCCAACGAGATGAGAAGATAAAGGAAAACTTGGTTAAGGAAGAGTTGGCTAATTTTGTAACAAAATTTAATAGGAGCTCTAGAACGAGAAAAGCTAATGACTTTTTATTCAGATGAATTAACATCCATGAAATTTATATTATATCAGTCAAGAAGATGATTAGCATCATAATGTAGTTTTTGCAATTCATTTTGAGATATCAGACAGCAGAAAAAATCAGTTGATAAAACATTGAAGATTGTTATCCCTAAAGACACAAGAGTGAACGAAAATATCACCCCTGGAACTTAGAAACTTGAAATTAATGCTAAATCAGTGTATGCGAGTTAAAATATTTAACTCCGTAGATTTACTAGGGCTGAACTCAAACTTTCGGTCGAATAACATAGATCCGATGGGGGGGGTGTCAAATAGTTACACATTAAACCCCCATCATATACTTCAGAATTTTAGCCTGCTTTAAATATAGTTTTCAGAAAACTTTCCCTCCAGAATTGTTAAAATAGCCAGTTTGAAGTGAAAGGTTAAAACAATTAAAACTGTAGTTCTTTAGAAAGTTAGTTTTGTTAAAAATTGATTATAAATATCAAACATTTGGAGGTTGACTCTTCAACATGTGTTTAATGATAGCAAAAAAAATATGGATGCAACCTGATAGCGGAGTGATTTCTATAGCGGCCATGGCCAATTAAGGATTAGAAAAATAATTGCCATCTTAGAAGGAATTATTGAAGTATCATACATCAGTTTGACGAGAATTTTAAGTTAGAATATCTTAACAGGATTTGCGATTTCTGTTTTTTATTTTAACGATTTAAGTTAGATTTTCAGCAGTTAAGCCGGAAGTGGAACCAACAAACTAATAGGTCAAAAAAATTGTGCGTGTTTGTGCTGTGCGGGAACGCATTACGACTTAAAATACCAGAATAATATTAAACGAGATGAATATTCAGCTAAAATTACAACAAAAACTTTCCGTTGCCCATTCAATTAATAGGCGATCAAGCAGAATGGAACTAATTATTTTTTCTTCCGATTTGCGTCACATACGAAATAATAAACAAGTTTGATGAGGCAGTTATTTCAACCTCGATGGAAAAAGTGCAGTGCGAGACTCGGTTTCGTGGTGCGTAGGTTGGCCTAGAAAATTTTCCGTGTTATTTTGCCCAAACACATTTTTGCCAATGTTATTTGGTAAAAAAAAATAAATTTCCGAAGGCTAACTGAATTTTATATTAACTACTAAGGCGTGGTGAAGCTGCACTTTCTCTCAATGTATATGGAACGGTATGGTATATTTTGAAATATTTGAATTCGGCGATAATAATGATCAAGTATTATATACATTATATATATATATATATATATATATATATATATATATATATATATATATATATATATATATATATATATATATATATATATATATATATATATATATATATATATATATATATATATATATATATATAATTATACATGCCTGATGATTTATTGAGTAGTCGAAGTACTTATTCATTCGTTACTCAATCCACCCCGCTAAGGATAGAAGTCCTCTTAAGTGAAGCTTAAGTGAAAAACATGACATTTTAGAATTCTGATTCTCAGTTCGCTGTTCAAGTCAAGTGTTCACAAAGTTTCCTTTGTTTTCATAAATATCGTTCGTGCTTTGGTTATTCGTTTCTATTTTTATCACTTTTATTCCATTTTTCAATGATGACGCTTCCCAGGCATGTCAACAAGTTCGAGGAGTACCGTTCTCATAAATTCCTCTATCCTAAATAATACCGCTTTTTTTCCTAAAATTATCTCTGGTCTTGCATACGTCCAGTGCGGCAGTAGTAGGTAGGTCATCCTATTCATTACAGAGTGTAGTTGTCCTTCCGAGTTTGCAGGAATAAAGATATCGTCTGCGTAACGGATGTTGTTTACAATTTGCCTATTTATCAGTATATATTTAGAGTCATGACTGTAATAATTAACGTATTAATGATTTTATCTATTCGTAGGCATTTTTGGGCCAGCAAATCAAACTGAACCAGGAAGGAAGGCAAGGAAATTGAAACTCAAAATATATTAATACATTCCGCTGTATTGCGTATTTAAAATTGTAATTATATAATTAATAAATACATATTAAATAAAGCTTTTACAAATCGCAGTAATAAGGTGGCAATCTAAGGGGTCTGTAGCAAGTTCGTTAGCAACATTAGCAAGTTCGACTCAGCAAAAACCGACGCAGGAGGAATCCAGAATTTTTGTAAAAAGCAGTACAGTAGCCTGTGCAAGTTTCTATGAAATATGTTTTATCATACTATTTGATTCTTAAAACTTCAACTAGTAATTATTTAAGTATCTTCATGCTGACTAAGGAACTCAATACCTCTGCTTTGCTGCTGATCGTTGGTACTTTTTTAGCTAAAATGCTTTAATTATTATTATTATCTTAACTCTTAACAACGATCCGGCGACGAACACGGACTAGCACAAAAAAACCTTCTTTTTCTATGGACGGATGGTCGGTGTGGTGGGTGCACGGGCAGCCCCCCCCCCCCCCCCTTGGGGCCAGTCAACCAACGACTGTACAGCGTCTGCGGTGGCGTACCAAGACCGAGGCGCAGGAAGCAGCCACTGAACATCCATCTTCTTAGACAGGTGCGAAAGCTAACTTCTTCGGAAAAAGAGAAAAAGCGACAGGAGAGCAAGTGCAAGTAGATTGGATACCGAAAAGGAGAAACAAGGAAAGAAGGAAGTGTCATTGGTACACGAAGTAGATGGCCCAGAAAATTGCAGATCATCGGGGATCCATTTGCAAGGAGAAGCTCACTCACCAGAAGCCCTATATTTAATAAAAAAGAAATTGTTGCCATGGTCCAGTCAAATGAAGTATTTAAACAGAATACCAAAAGGAAATGGGAAGATACTCCCACTTCAAAACTGAGTATGCTAAACAATAGAGATGAACTTGTAGAAAAAAAAAGACCTTATGAAGTTCTTGCTCAGAATTAAAAGAACTTATCAAATGTAACCCCTACACTAAGACAGAAATAAAAAACACTATTAAGGATGTCCATTTTCATGCGCAAAAGATTATAATGAAATATAACGAGAAAGAAGAGTATCTCAGAGAGTCACTGGATGAAACAAACACACAAAATAAAACGGTAGATGCTGGCGTACAAGTACATTTTAAACCTGAAATGGCGACCAAAGGAGTACAAGTAAGTGTAGGCAATCACCACAGAGAAACAGATCAAATAATAACAACCCTAGGAAATTTGAAGATCTTTCAGGACTATTGAATCAAAACTGGCCAGAAGAAGTGTAATAAGAGCACAACTGTAGAAACAGGAAACAGAAAAGACGTGAAAAAGGACTCGCAAAAGTAATAATAAAAAATGTGGCAAATATTACAAAAGCCACCACAAGTCGTGCGATCGATGTGGAAGGACGTAGGTACGTCTATATTCTTCAATACCATATTCAAAATGTAGGGGTAAATGACACGAAGGAGTCCTATAAACTAGCGGAAGATTCTAAGAAGCTAGTGTACGAACAGACCAGAAGTAAAATATCACTCCCGGAGGGAGTTGATTAGAGCCGCTGCAGAAAAATTCTAGAGTACCTATTTCACAGCGGTGATATAAGAGTAAAATGCTTTGTACCGGGAAAGGCAAATGAAGAAAAGAAAAGCCGACAGACATGGAAGAAGAAACTAGGAAACGAAACTGTAACCGTAAAGGCAGCTGGCAATTCATATGCTGACTTACTGAAAAACAACAAGTGGACATTAACAGAATAGGGGTAAAAATTAAAACCATCAGGAAAAATGATGCTATAATCTTTTCTGTTGAGGGTGGAAACGACATGGCAAGTAACATAAAAAAAGAGCTTCAAGAAAAAATACACGACTGCGAGGTCACAACGAGGAAAAACACTATAACGCTCTATATCAGAGGTATAGATATTGCAATATCTCAATCTGAATTCATAGATGCACTAAAAATGAGTACAAACTTAGATGAAAGTAAAATTATAATTAAATCAATGAGACCGGACAAGTACGACCAATTCACTGCAACAGTAGAAATCCCGAGCATTCCAGTAGAAGAGGCACTCTTGCTTATAGAAGAAAACGAAGATCTTCCGCCGTACATAATGGATCTGTCAAGACATTGCCTGAAAACGCTTACTTTATGTACAACGGGAAAATTTATATATATATATATATATATATATATATATATATATATATATATATATATATATATATATATATATATATATATATAATTATACATGCCTGATGATTTATTGAGTAGTCGAAGTACTTATTCATTCGTTACTCAATCCACCCCGCTAAGGATAGAAGTCCTCTTAAGTGAAGCTTAAGTGAAAAACATGACATTTTAGAATTCTGATTCTCAGTTCGCTGTTCAAGTCAAGTGTTCACAAAGTTTCCTTTGTTTTCATAAATATCGTTCGTGCTTTGGTTATTCGTTTCTATTTTTATCACTTTTATTTTATATTTTATTTATATATATATATATATATATATATATATATATATATATATATATATATATATATATATATATATATATATATATATATATATATATATATATATATAAATTTTCCCGTTGTACATAAAGTAAGCGTTTTCAGGCAATGTCTTGACAGATCCATTATGTACGGCGGAAGATCTTCGTTTTCTTCTATAAGCAAGAGTGCCTCTTCTACTGGAATGCTCGGGATTTCTACTGTTGCAGTGAATTGGTCGTACTTGTCCGGTCTCATTGATTTAATTATAATTTTACTTTCATCTAAGTTTGTACTCATTTTTAGTGCATCTATGAATTCAGATTGAGATATTGCAATATCTATACCTCTGATATAGAGCGTTATAGTGTTTTTCCTCGTTGTGACCTCGCAGTCGTGTATTTTTTCTTGAAGCTCTTTTTTTTATGTTACTTGCCATGTCGTTTCCACCCTCAACAGAAAAGATTATAGCATCATTTTTCCTGATGGTTTTAATTTTTACCCCTATTCTGTTAATGTCCACTTGTTGTTTTTCAGTAAGTCAGCATATGAATTGCCAGCTGCCTTTACGGTTACAGTTTCGTTTCCTAGTTTCTTCTTCCATGTCTGTCGGCTTTTCTTTTCTTCATTTGCCTTTCCCGGTACAAAGCATTTTACTCTTATATCACCGCTGTGAAATAGGTACTCTAGAATTTTTCTGCAGCGGCTCTAATCAACTCCCTCTGGTCTGTTCGTACACTAGCTTCTTAGAATCTTCCGCTAGTTTATAGGACTCCTTCGTGTCATTTACCCCTACATTTTGAATATGGTATTGAAGAATATAGACGTACCTACGTCCTTCCACATCGATCGCACGACTTGTGGTGGCTTTTGTAATATTTGCCACATTTTTTATTATTACTTTTGCGAGTCCTTTTTCACGTCTTTTCTGTTTCCTGTTTCTACAGTTGTGCTCTTATTACACTTCTTCTGGCCAGTTTTGATTCAATAGTCCTGAAAGATCTTCAAATTTCCTAGGGTTGTTATTATTTGATCTGTTTCTCTGTGGTGATTGCCTACACTTACTTGTACTCCTTTGGTCGCCATTTCAGGTTTAAAATGTACTTGTACGCCAGCATCTACCGTTTTATTTTGTGTGTTTGTTTCATCCAGTGACTCTCTGAGATACTCTTCTTTCTCGTTATATTTCATTATAATCTTTTGCGCATGAAAATGGACATCCTTAATAGTGTTTTTTATTTCTGTCTTAGTGTAGGGGTTACATTTGATAAGTTCTTTTAATTCTGAGCAAGAACTTCATAAGGTCTTTTTTTTCTACAAGTTCATCTCTATTGTTTAGCATACTCAGTTTTGAAGTGGGAGTATCTTCCCATTTCCTTTTGGTATTCTGTTTAAATACTTCATTTGACTGGACCATGGCAACAATTTCTTTTTTATTAAATATAGGGCTTCTGGTGAGTGAGCTTCTCCTTGCAAATGGATCCCCGATGATCTGCAATTTTCTGGGCCATCTACTTCGTGTACCAATGACACTTCCTTCTTTCCTTGTTTCTCCTTTTCGGTATCCAATCTACTTGCACTTGCTCTCCTGTCGCTTTTTCTCTTTTTCCGAAGAAGTTAGCTTTCGCACGTGTCTAAGAAGATGGATGTTCAGTGGCTGCTTCCTGCGCCTCGGTCTTGGTACGCCACCGCAGACGCTGTACAGTCGTTGGTTGACTGGCCCCAAGGGGGGGGGGGCTGCCCATGCACCCACCACACCGACCATCCGTCCATAGAAAAAGAAGGTTTTTTTGTGCTAGTCCGTGTTCGTCGCCGGATCGTTGTTAAGAGTTAAGATAATAATAATAATTAAAGCATTTTAGCTAAAAAAGTACCAACGATCAGCAGCAAAGCAGAGGTATTGAGTTCCTTAGTCAGCATGAAGATACTTAAATAATTACACCAGTGTTCGAAGTGTTTTCGCGAGCATTGAAGATGCCAAGTGAGATTTTGGCGAAACGTCTGCAGGATTCCAATCGGATGCAGGATTTGCAGGATTCCAGTCGGATGCAGGATTCCAGTCGGGGTTCAACGAGCGAACGGATGATATCCCGGAGTATAGTGTCATCACATTTTTCCATCCGTGAATCAATACGTGAGAATATATATATATATATATATATATATATATATATATATATATATATATATATATATATATATATATATATATATATATATATATATATATATATATAGAGTTGAAAAATATGCTTTTCTTGGACCCTTGTATATTTTTTATTGGATGATTCTTAGGGTTTGGTCCACAGTGAACAAAACTCACAAATAATTTTAAAACACTGTAATTGTCATTGACGTTTCGACCGGCAACCCAGGCCTTTCTCAAAAACTGCAAAACAAAGGACAAAAAAAGCGTCTAACACAGAATATCTTAAACAGTAGACATATACGAATTTAAAAATTACAAATATTACAAAAACAAATGACATATATTAGTCATACTCACAAATTTATTATTATTTTTTTAAATGTCTATTATTAGCGCTGTTTGTGAAAAAGTACCACAACATACATCATTGCCAAAAACAATAACGTTCTTGTTTCGGCGTACGAATCACAAATAGAAGTGGAAAATAAACATTCATTGTATCTGATGTCTTTTTTTTTTCCCTCTTAGTTTTTATTTATTTATTTTTTTAGAGTGTACGTTTGTGTTAAGTTTAAGATCTACTGATACGCAGTGAAGCATCTGAGCATTAAAATGGTCTACTTTAACAATTCGAAATAGATTTCACTCAGGTGTTTTATGTCGGTTTTCGCGTTTATGGCGTTTTTATTCCTTTGAATATGTATCATCTCAATTATTTCCCTTTTTTGTCTGTTTGGTTCGGTAGCGAGTATTTTTGTGTCATCGAAGTTAATGGTATGTGTTTTCTCCGTTATATAGCTGCTGATGGCTGTTTTGTTTTTTTTGTCGTACTTATGACCATTGATGCGGTTCTTCAACAGTTGGCTAGTCTGTCCAATGTACACTTGGTCACAGTCGTTGCATGGTATTTGATATACAATGTGACTTTTTTTATCTTTGGGTATTGGTGTTTTTAGTTTACTGAAATTCCTATTTAACAAATTTTGACCCTTGTGGCAGATTGTTACAGAGCTTCCCTTAAACACATTCGAGATTTTTTCCGACAAATTTGGTATGTATGGCAACGAACAATATTCTCGTTTTGATGGTTGTGTGTTTTCCTTAACAGAAATCTTGTTGTAGAATTTATGTATCCTTCTTTTAAAAATAGAGTTAATTAAGGCACTTGGGTAATTGTTTAGTTTTAGTGTGTACTTAGCCTTATATAAAGCTTCTTTTCTGTACTCTGGATCAGATAGATTTATAGCTCTGTCAGCCAACCCGATAATAACAGTCTTTTTTTGTGATATTGGGTGTTGGGAGTGAAAATTAAGGTATCGTCCAGACCATGTATCTTTTGTGTACCACATCGTTCTGATTTTGTTTTCCTTGCGTATTAGCGTCATGTCTAAGAAGTTAATTTTGTCATCTTTTTCATATTCTATGGTAAATTTTATCTTTGTGTGATATGAGTTAAAACTATTCAGAATGAGGTCGCCCTTTCCTTTAGGTATTGCTAGAAAACAGTCGTCGACATATCGATAGAAACAGGGTAATTTAATAGTCATTTTGTCAATAACTGTTTTTTCTAGGTCTTCGAGAACAAGTTGCGCAATTACACTCGAAATAGAAGCACCCATGGCACAACCGTCAATCTGCTTGTAATATTTATTATTATATATGAAATAGGTCGAATTTAGAGTTAATTTTATGGCTTCCACGAACTCCTCTAGTGGAATGTCTGTGTGAAGTTTGATCATGTCCCATTTTTTATTTATTATGTCTATAGCTAAAACGATAGGAATGTTTGTGTAGAGGGACACTACATCTAGAGATGCTAAAATGTGGTCATGCGGTAGAATGATTCTGCTAATTTTTTCTTTAAACTGCCACGAATCTTTAATATAGTATTCATTATCATTCACTATGTTTTTTAAGATGTTTTTTAAGAATTTTGATAATTTTTAGAAAGGGGACTGAGTGCAAGAGACAATAGGTCTTAACGGGATATTTTGTTTATGCAGTTTTGGTAAGCCGTAGATCCTTGGGGCGATAGCATTATTAATTTTTAAGTGTTTTGCAGTTTGCGGCGAGATTAGGAGAGCTTTTTCCCATCGATTTATTGTTATTTTTATGAAATATGTTTGTGGGATCGTTTTTTAATTCGCTATATGTGGCCCTATCTGATAGAAGTTCATTTATTTTATTGTCATAGTCGGTAGTGTACATTATGACTGTTTTGTTAGTCTTATCAGGTTTTAACGTTATAATGTTAGGGTTTTGTTTTAGAAAATGTTGGGTTTCTTTAACTTTTTTAACTAACATATTTTGGGTTTGGTTAGCAGTCCAGTTTTGCTTATTTTTGTAGTTTCTAATAACCTAAAGCATGTAAAATTTGTTTGCGCGAATAACCTGCGTACTTTTAAAGACAAAGTTATGAACAAGTTTGTAAGTAGTACCCTCAAATTATTGATCACTGATACAGCGAGTGCTCTGAGATTTTTGGAAAGGGAAAAAAACATTGTTTACAACCACTTAGTTGGCAGAATACCTCAAATATATTTGAATGATTTTTTAAAAATAGTGTTTCGCAAAACTGAAGATGGTTTTAATAAAATTAAGCAAAATAATTGTAAAAAAATTCAATCTCTAAAACAGTATCAAAATAATATGGATACCATAGTACAAAATAAGAACTGGGTAGAAAATTTAACTAATATTTATATTCCGCGTAACGTGCTTGAGATCTTTAGTCTTGGTCCAGATTTTGCCGTACCTATCAGCCAACCAAAAGAGATACCCATTCCTAACATCATCAGCAGTATTGAGTCAGCTCTTAGAAACTGTTCAACCGACGCACGGAATGACTATAGATCAAAATGCTGTAATATTATTAGAAACTACAAAAATAAGCAAAACTGGACTGCTAACCAAACCCAAAATATGTTAGTTAAAAAAGTTAAAGAAACCCAACATTTTCTAATGTACACTACCGACTATGACAATAAAATAAATGAACTTCTATCAGATAGGGCCACATATAGCGAATTAAAAAACGATCCCACAAACATATTTCAAAAAAATAACAACGATATAATAAATCGATGGGAAAAAGCTCTCCTAATCTCGCCGCAAACTGCAAAACACTTAAAAATTAATAATGCTATCGCCCCAAGGATCTACGGCTTACCAAAACTGCATAAACAAAATATCCCCTTAAGACCTATTGTCTCTTGCACTCAGTCCCCTTTCGAAAAATTATCAAAATTCTTAAAAAACATCTTAAAAAACATAGTGAATGATAATGAATACTATATTAAAGATTCGTGGCAGTTTAAAGAAAAAATTAGCAGAATCATTCTACCGCATGACCACATTTTAGCATCTCTAGATGTAGTGTCCCTCTACACAAACATTCCTATCGATTTAGCTATAGACATAATAAATAAAAAATGGGACATGATCAAACTTCACACAGACATTCCACTAGAGGAGTTCGTGGAAGCCATAAAATTAACTCTAAATTCGACCTATTTCATATATAATAATAAATATTACAAGCAGATTGACGGTTGTGCCATGGGTGCTTCTATTTCGAGTGTAATTGCGCAACTTGTTCTCGAAGACCTAGAAAAAACAGTTATTGACAAAATGACTATTAAATTACCCTGTTTCTATCGATATGTCGACGACTGTTTTCTAGCAATACCTAAAGGAAAGGGCGACCTCATTCTGAATAGTTTTAACTCATATCATACAAAGATAAAATTTACCATAGAATATGAAAAAGATGACAAAATTAACTTCTTAGACATGACGCTAATACGCAAGGAAAACAAAATCAGAACGATGTGGTACACAAAAGATACATGGTCTGGACCATACCTTAATTTTCACTCCCAACACCCAATATCACAAAAAAAGACTGTTATTATCGGGTTGGCTGAAAGAGCTATAAATCTATCTGATCCAGAGTACAGAAAAGAAGCTTTATATAAGGCTAAGTACACACTAAAACTAAACAATTACCCAAGTGCCTTAATTAACTCTATTTTTAAAAGAAGGATATAAATTCTACAACAAGATTTCTGTTAAGGAAAACACACAACCATCAAAACGAGAATATTGTTCGTTGCCATACATACCAAATTTGTCGGAAAAAATCTCGAATGTGTTTAAGGGAAGCTCTGTAACAATCTGCCACAAGGGTCAAAATTTGTTAAATAGGAATTTCAGTAAACTAAAAACACCAATACCCAAAGATAAAAAAAGTCACATTGTATATCAAATACCATGCAACGACTGTGACCAAGTGTACATTGGACAGACTAGCCAACTGTTGAAGAACCGCATCAATGGTCATAAGTATCACAAAAAAAACAAAACAGCCATCAGCAGCTATATAACGGAGAAAACACATACCATTAACTTCGATGACACAAAAATACTCGCTACCGAACCAAACAGACAAAAAAGGGAAATAATTGAGATGATACATATTCAAAGGAATAAAAACGCCATAAACGCGAAAACCGACATAAAACACCTGAGTGAAATCTATTTCGAATTGTTAAAGTAGACCATTTTAATGCTCAGATGCTTCACTGCGTATCAGTAGATCTTAAACTTAACACAAACGTACACTCTAAAAAAATAAATAAATAAAAACTAAGAGGGAAAAAAAAAGACATCAGATACAATGAATGTTTATTTTCCACTTCTATTTGTGATTCGTACGCCGAAACAAGAACGTTATTGTTTTTGGCAATGATGTATGTTGTGGTACTTTTTCACAAACAGCGCTAATAATAGACATTTAAAAAAAAAATAATAAATTTGTGAGTATGACTAATATATGTCATTTGTTTTTGTAATATTTGTAATTTTTAAATTCGTATATGTCGACTGTTTAAGATATTCTGTGTTAGACGCTTTTTTTGTCCTTTGTTTTGCAGTTTTTGAGAAAGACCTGGGTTGCCGGTCGAAACGTCAATGACAATTACAGTGTTTTAAAATTATTTGTGAGTTTTGTTCACTGTGGACCAAACCCTAAGAATCATCCAATAAAAAATATATATATATATATATATATATATATATATATATATATATATATATATATATATATATATATATATATATATATATGTTCACGTATTGATTCACAGATATATTCCGGGATATCATCCGTTCGCTTGTTGTATACGTATATATATATACAGTTCCTATCTACCACACTTCAGTTGATTATTTTTTATTTCAATGGTAAGTGGGAATTCCCAGTGAAGGGTTCGATAGATTATTTCATTTCATCAAGTGTCACATTTTTTAGTTTTATCACAATTTTCGAAAATTTTAAATTGAGAAAATGGGAAATTCCGTCCAGTTTCGCAAAATTTCGATACAGGCCATAGGCGTAGGTAATTTTATAAAATAAAATTATGTGATGCATCCCTGCATCATCGTACCTGTTACATTACCGCTCAGCATTCCTTCATGACTCAGTAAAGAAAAATGTCATATCTAAGAATCGTGATTAGATCTGCTCTTATATTGCGATCCTCCTGTGTTTTCAGTTTTAGGGCTTTTAGGCGGTTCTCAGAATATAATTACTAAACAGCGTACTGCGCATTTGCATGGTTTATTCTGCAATCCACATCTGTTGTAAGCTTTAGGGCTTTTATGCGATTCTCCTAAGTCATATCACGTAACTCCAAAGCTAGCTCTACAAGCTTTCTTTGTACCCTCTCCAGAAGTTCGACATCCATTATATTAGAATGGCATTTTCCTTATTTCAATTATGGTCAAATATAGAACTTGTACCAGACTATAGAGTCTTATACTAGATTAGTTTTAAGCATATCCTTCGAATGGACAGTTACTGCAGCCTCCAGGCTAACCGAACATACAAAAATCACGAATAGTACAATCTCATTTAAACACTAATGTAAAAATGTAGGTCTTGTTATTGATGGCATTTTCAATTTTAAAATGATTATACTTGCATCGTCATTCCTTATTTCAAAAAATCTTGAAAGAATGTAAGGGTCCATTATTCCTTCTGCACATTATGCATGTCGAAATCTGATTCTCTGAATTATAATATGTATTATCGACTGCGTACATCTTGTTAAAATTCTCTCTAATAAAAAAATAAAGAATACCTGCTTTCTTAATGTTTTAATTAATTAATTAATTAAACCGGCTTTTAAAATAGCATGTATGTTATTATTAGTTTTAGTTACTTTTATTGGACAATATGAAAAAATATTACCATTACCGTATGATGAGTCAAATGTTTTTAACGCTAATCCGGTGAAGATTTGATAGAAAGCTGCAAAATTAGGAATACTCAATTTGGTTTCGGAAATGGTTTCGGAACAGGTTAGGCGCTGTTTAGTATGCAAATACCAATACAAAACCATCAGGATGTACAACCATGACAATTACATACGTGCCTTCGACAGAGTCAGATATGGCAAAACGTTAAAGGCCCAGAGGCTGATGATATTAGATAATAGCAAACCAATACTCGCAACAGGAAGCAAATATATGTTTAGAAGATCAACTATCAGAGTAAGCGAGGAGTTAGGACAGGGCGGTATCTGATCTTCATTATTATTTAATCTATATACATAACATATTTGTAACTAAGCATTAGAAGATGTCAACGATGTTATAGTTAGTGTTGGGACCAGTCAATTGACCACTTCTTAATTGACTGATCAAAATATCTTTTAAAAAACATCGTGCAATTGTGGAGTGTTATTTATCATTATTTTTTATAACATGTATCATATGTATCATATCTACAAATAAAAGGTGGCAAAAATTTTCATCGAACTGCATTTGAAATGTGCTTGCATCTGAAGCATTTTGAAGTTCCTCGATGCTTATCTTCCAGTCTAGCATTGTTCTTATCTGCGATGTTCTTTTTCTTTCTTCAAAAACCACTTAGATGACTTGTGGTCAATCGGTTCTCCCCATAAGAACGCCCGCAAGTCTTCTTCTTTGGCAAGTCCTCGGCTGCCTGTCCAGTGGGCATTTCCAGGTCCCTAGAGAAATGGGCTCGGTTTGTTGCAAATTGATGCTTTTGTCTATTCCGCATGTTACTCTTTCTATATCGTTTGAGTCTTTTTGCGAAGGCAGTTAGCTTTTGATTTAGGTGGTCGAGCACTTCTATAATTGTGGGGTTTTCTTCAGATTTATACAGGACTATTGTTATGGCTGCCGCTTCGTTGACTCTCTTGCTGGCACTCTCCCTATGGGATTGAGTTAAGAAACCTATTTCTCTTCTGAGATTGTTGAGTTTTATCTGCATCCTTTTTTCCCATGGTTGTTCAGGCATCTTTCTGCCACTTCCTTTTTGTGCGCTGTCGTTTATATGCCGTCCAGTCAGGGTGAGCTCAGCGACCGCCCCAGTATATACGAGGCTGTGCAGCTCCCTGATATTAGTGTTGCTTGTTAGTCTAGACGCTATAACCTTATTCACATCCCAGATGATTTTTATGGTGTCTGGTTTAAAAATTAACTTTTTTAATTGTGGTTTCGCAAGTGGGTTGAGTCCGTCAAGTTTGAGGTAGTTTGCCGCAAATTATTCCTAAGCCTCTTTAGGTTGCTGCCTGGAAAACGACGTATGGGGAAATGGGTACAAAACTGTAACTAGAAGCTAGAAAACTTCCACTCCATACGAGCTAGACTTAACGAAGAAAAAAGCACTAGTTGAGGAACTGTTCCCGCGCGGATGCGACATGTGGGTCAAAACACCAGCAGTGAGTGGGGTGAAGCCTTTGACCCTAGAAGAACTACACGAGGCTGCGCAGAGCATGAAAAATGGCAGAGCTCTAGGATTAGATGGTATTCTGCCTGAAGCAATTAAGGAGACGGTAACAGCTGTACCAACACATATGCTAAAGGTCCTGAACAAGCTGTTAAAAGATCAAATCTTTCCCGAATAGTGGAAACTCGCAAAAATAGTTTTTATACTGAATAAATCCCATGAAAGCTTATCAGCATTCAGACCTTTGTGCATGCTGAGTACTATCAGTAAGCTATTTGAAGCAGTCATAAAGACAAGGCTTGGGGAAGAGATCGAAAGCAATATGGGTCTTCATGCAAATCAATTTGGTTTCCGTAAAAAAAAATCAACAATCCAAGCATTAGACACGGTAATAAAAATAGCGAGAGAATGCACAAAACCGTGGGGTGTGCTTGTAGCGCTGGAAGTTAAAAATGCATTTAATTCAACAAACCATATACGAGAACTGAAGAATAGACGCATCTCCCAGTACCTGATTAATTTGATCTCGTTACCTGGAAAATCGTAAGGTCCAAATAGTAAAAGGTGAAAACATCAATATAAGTGCAGGGGTTCCACAGGGCTCAGTTCTAGGACCAACACTCTGCAACATAGCCCACAATGGAGTACTTAGAACGAACCTTATAGATGACGCCATATCGATTGGTTTTGCTGACGATTTGGCGCTAATGGTGACAGCTGAACGAGCACGTATTATCAAGAAATATAAATGAATGCATGAGACAAATCATGGTGTGGATGAAATCGCATAAGCTACAGCTGGCCCCGCAAAAAACAGAAATGCTCATCCTAAAAGGTAAAAGAAAGAGAGGCCACATACGAATCAATCTGGGTGCGGTGGAAATACAACCAATCAAAAACGTAAAATATCTAGTATCACTTTGGATGAACGGTTTTAAAAGACATATTGAAAACACGAGGGATAAGGCTGAAGATCGGGTGGCAAGGCTAACAAGTAGCGGCAAGAAAATGGTGTTATGCAGAGTGGTAGAGAGTATTATCCTGTATATTATGTATATTATCCTGTATATAAGGATATGATCTCTAGGGTCCAGCGAAAAATGCTAATCAGAGTGGCATCGGCATATAGAACCGTCTGGATCGCCGCTTTACAAGTTATAACGGGGGCTATACCCATTGACCTTCTTACTCAGGAGAGCGATACGTATACGAACAGGGTGATCACAACCTAAAGCATTCAAAGATGACTGCAAAAACAAGAAACATACAAACCTGGAAACATAGATGGGAAAATAATTATACAAAAGTTCAATGGACTAAAAGACTTATAAACAACATAGAAGACTGGGTAAATTGTGCTTTTCGGCACTGACTATTATCTAACACAAGCCATCACATCACCACCTATATATATTGCAATGAACTAGACGATGTAGAGCATACAATCTTTAAATGTGCGAGATGGGGCGTAGTACGAAACAACACTTACCATAAACTAGGTTGCATACTGGATCCTCGAAATTTAGTTCTCAAAATGTTAGAAAATGGGGAGCAGTGGCAAACAATACACGATATGATTAAAACCACAATGAGTCAGAAGAAGAAAGAGGAGAGAAAAAGACAATAAGGCGAGACAACCGGTTTAAGAATAATCTCACTGTTTTGCCAAGATAAAAGACTGCAAAATAATAATAATAGTAATAATAATAGAAATAATAATAATAATAAACATAATATACAGTAATAATAACAAATAACAAATTTAAATAATAATAATAATAATAATAATAAGCCGGGCAAGAAGACCTAGGTGTAGAGCCCGATGTGATAGACGAGCAGCAACCTAAAGAGGCTTAGGAAGAATTTGCGACAAACTACCTCAAACTTGACGGACTCAACCCACTTGCGAAACCACAATTAAAAAAGTTAATTTTTAAACCAGACACCATAAAAATCATCTGGGATGTGAATAAGGTTATAGCGTCTAGACTAGCAAGCAACACCAATGTCAGGGAGCTGCACAGCGTCGTATATACTGGGGCGGTCGCTATGCTCACCCTGACTGGGCAGCATATAAACGACAGCGCACAAAAAGGAAGTGGCAGAAAGATGCCTGAACAACCATGGGAAAAAAGGATGCAGATAAAACTCAACAATCTCAGAAGAGAAATAGGTTTCTTAACTCAATCCCATAGGGAGAGTGCCAGCAAGAGAGTCAACGAAGCGGCAGCCAAAACAATAGTCCTGTATAAATCGGAAGAAAACCCCACAATTATAGAAATGCTCGACCACCTAAATCAAAAGCTAACTGCCTTCGCAAAAAGACTCAAACGATATAGAAAGAGTAACATGCGGAATAGACAAAAGCATCAATTTGCAACAAACCAACCCCATTTCTCTAGGGACCTGGAAATGCCCACTGGCCAGGCAGCCGAGGACCTGCCAAAGAAGAAGACTTGCGGGCGTTCTTATGGGGAGAACCGATTGACCACAAGCCATCTAGTGGTTTTTGAAGAAAGAAAAAGAACATCGCAGATAAGAACAATGCTGGACTGGAAGATAAGCATCGAGGAACTTCAAAATGCTTCAGATGCAAGCACATTTCAAATGCAGTTCTATGAAAATTTTTGCCACCGTTTATTTGTAGATATGATACATATGATACATATTATAAAAAATAATGATAAATAACACTCTACAATTGCACGATGTTTTTTAAAACATATTTTGATTAGTCAATTAAGAAGTGGTCAATTGACTGGTCCCAACACTAACTATAACATCGTTTACATATTCCAATGCTTAGTTACAAATATGTTATGTTTATAGATTAAATAATAAAGAAGATCAGATACCGCCCTGTCCTAACTCCTCGCTTACTCTGATAGTTGATCTTTTAAACATATATTTGCTTCCTGTTGTGAGTATTGGTTTGCTATTATCTAATATCATCAGCCTTTGGGCCTTTAACGTTTTGTCATATCTGACTCTGTCGAAGGCACGTATGTAATTGTCATGGTTGTACATCCCGATGGTTTTGTATTGGTATTTGCATACTAAACAGTGCCTAACCTGTTCCGAAACCATTCCAGAAACCAAATTGAGTATTCCTAATTATACTGCTTTCTATCAAATCTTCACCGGATTAGCGTTAAAAATATTTGACTCATCATACGGTAATGGTAATATTTTTTCATATTGTTCAATAAAAGAAACTAAAACTAATAATAACATATATGCTATTTTAAAAGCGGTTTAATTAATTAATTAATTAAAACATTAAGAAAGCAGGTATTCTTTATTTTTTTATTAGAGAGAATTTTAACAAGATGTACGCAGTCGATAATACATATTATAATTCAGAGAATCAGATTTCGACATGCATAATGTGCACAAGGAATAATGGGCCCTTACATTCTTTCAAGATTTTTTGAAATAAGGAATGACGGTGCGAGTATAATCATTTTAAAATTGAAAATGCCATCAATAATAAGACCTACATTTTTACATTAGTGTTTAAATGAGATTGTACTATTCGTGATTTTTGTATGTTCGGTTAGCTTGGAGGCTACAGTAACTGTCCATTCGAAGGATATGCTTAAAACTAGTCTAGTATAAGTCTCTATAGTCTGGTACGAGTTCTATGTTAGACCATAATTGAAATAAGGAAAATGCTAATATAACGGATGTTGAACTTCTGGAGAGGGTACAAAGAAAGCTTGTAGAGCTAGCTTTAGAGTAACGTGATATGACTAAGGAGAATCGCATAAAAGCTCTAAAGCTTACAACAGATGTGGATTGCAGAATAAACCATGCAAATGCGCAGTACGGTGTTTAGTAATTATATTCTGAGAACCGCCTAAAAGCCCTAAAACTGAAAACACAGGAGGATCGCAATATAAGAGCAGATCTAATCACGATTCTTAGATATGACATTTTTTTTTACTGAGTCATGAAGGAATGCTGAGCGGTAATGTAACAGGTACGATTATGCAGGGATGCATCACATAATTTTATTTTATAAAATTACCTACGCCTATGGCCTGTATCGAAATTTTGCGAAACTGGGCGGAATTTCCCATTTTCTTACTTTAAAATTTTCTAAAATTGTGATAAAACTAAAAAATGTGACACTTGCAATAAAAAATGAAATAATCTATCGGACCCTTCACTGGGAATTCCCACTTACCATTGAAATAAAAAATAATCAACTGAAGTGTAGTAGGCAGGAACTGGATAATAAATAAACAGAGGGGTGGAGAGTTTTTCTGACCTAGTTTTCATCGATTCCACAAATGGAATGGTAGGGTAGAATTTCGCGTTATTTATTTCTAATTTTCTTGGGTAATCAACCCAGCAAAACAAAACAAATTCCGTACTGGTTCAACATTCGGGATTTTCCCACTACATAATCAATTCCTCGCGTCTACAACCAAAAATCGATTTGGAATAACGCCTTTTATTTACATTCCGTTTGTTTAAATTTTTATCGACTATTTATATTTGCGGCGGAATTTCAAGACCACCTGTGCTGATTTCTATATACGTCTTATATCGGATTAGAGAATCCGCCTCGGTATTTAACAAAGATTAATAAAACTCAATGCCAGTTCGCAGATATATTAGCAGAAAGGAGAACGATCGGAATACAAAGAGGTCATTATCGTCAGATAAACAAAATATTGGACAACTATAAATGTGAATTTTATGCGGGCACAAACCTTCAAAAAGTGTTGTTCGTTGATACCATTTTCTTTTATGACGATAACGTTTATTAATGACGGCAAAATATGAATGACGAAGCAGAATGGGCCCAAAAAGTGCTAATAATTCGGAAAAATTTGTAGTTGTGCGTTATTCGCTGGTTAATATTCAAATTTAAACAGTTGTTTTTTCGATTGAAGTGTAGAAAATGAAAACATTTTTTGTCCCAATCTGTTTACAAATAACCACGGACAATTTTTTAAAGAAAAATAATGATTTATCATCGTCTGTCTTTGAAGATCTTGTCTTTCAGTGTCTCTGGGTTATTTTGACTGAAAAATAAAATATGTTTTTAATATAGTTTGATATCTTCCTAAATTTAGTCGTTATTGAGGGCTGCATGTGCAAACCTAAGATTGCGGTTATTAGTCCAATTTTACATCTTCCTGTTTAAATAAATTATCAGTGAGATCTTTGACACTTAATCACAGAAAAAGAAATCGGCAATCTGGTCGACAATATTATCCGAGGCAAAATTCGTGTAAAAATGGGAATTACAAATTTATGTTCCATTTAAAAAAGTAAAGTTGGTATATTATACATATTATGCAACAAGTGCGGTAAACTACATTTGAGTCACGAGTTTATTTGGTACAAGAGGAGCGCAGCGGAGCGAGTTTTTAATAAACGAGTGAGTTAAGAAGCTCACCGAATGTGTTGCATACTATACTTTTTCTACGACATTTTTTTGATACATTTTCGCAAAAGAACACTAATACATTCACTCTCATGACCGTCAGAGTTGACAAACGTCAAAATTCAAAGCGTGGAAAATATATCCGAAAACATCCGATTGCTCCCAAACCTGTGATGTAAAAACCGCTTCCCGCACGCTAGAGTAAAGAATAGTATATTATGCAACAAGTGCGGTAAACGGCATGTGACCCACGAGTTTATTTGACACGAGCGGAGCGCAGCGGAGCGAGTTTTTAATAAACGAGTTATTTTAAAATTTTACCGAACGTGTTGCATACTATACTTTTCCTACGACCGTTAGTTTTTGGGTACATTTTTGTAAAAAAACACCACAAATACATTCACTGACATAACCGTCAGAATTGACAAACGTCAAAATTCAAAGCGTTTGAAATATCTCCGAAAACAATGGATCGTTCCCAAATCCGTGCGATAAAATCCCGGAAATGTCCGAAAAGGAGTAGAAAAAATCATTTGTGTAAAATACCTAATTACCCACCGATCTAGCGCGCGGGAAGCGTCACTTTACCATGTCAGTTTCCTTTCCCACGAATCTGAGCCACTTCGTACATTTCCGGGATCTTACCGCTTCCCGCACGCTAGATCCGTGAGTAATTAGGTATTTTACAGACAGGAGTAGAAAAAATACATTAAAGTAGGAAACTACAGGATTTTCAGTATTTATATTTTCACACCCACATGCACAATTTATTAATGGGGATAGGCAATAACTTTTTATACCAAGTTGTATGATTTTGTATATATGTATCCAACATATACATCATCATACATCCCATCACACTGTGCATGTGGGTGTCAAAATATAAATGAAAACCGTAGCTACTTATAATTTATATGCAGTAATGTAGCTTGGAATAATTGAAGTTTTAATTTGTACCAGATTGAAGATTCTGAAATAGTATATTATGCAACAAGTGCGATAAACGGCATTTGACTCACGAGTTTATTTGAAACGAGCGAAGCGAGTGTTTAATAAACGAGTGAGTTAAAAAGTTTACCGAACGTGTTGCATACTCTACTTTTTCTACGACCGTCTACATTTTCGTAAAACAACAAGAAATACATTCACTGACATAACCGTCAGAATTGACAAACGTCAAAATTCAAAGCGTGGGAAATATCTCCGAAAACATCCGATTGCTCCCAAATCCGTGCGGTAAAATCCCGGAAATGTACGAAGTGGCTCAGATTCGTGGGAAAAGAAACTGACATGGTAAAGTGGCGCTTCCCGCGCGCTAGATCGGTGTGTAATTTGGTATTTTACAGACGGGAGTAGAAAAAATCATTTTTCTACTCCTTTTCGGACGTTTCCGGGATTTTATCGCACGGATTTGAGAACGATCCGATGTTTTCGGAGATATTCACACGCTTTGAATTTTGACGTTTGTCAATTCTGACGGTTATGTCAGTGAATGTATTTGTGGTGTTTTTTTACGAAAATATACCCAAAAACTAACGGTCGTATAGTATGCAACACATTCGGTAAAATTTTAAAATAACTCGTTTATTAAAAACTCGCTCCGCTGCGCTCCGCTCGTGTCAAATAAACTCGTGAGTCACATGCCGTTTACGGCACTTGTTGCATAATATACTATTCTTTACTCCCTTCTGTAAAATACCTATTATACACCGATCTAGCCTGTGGAAAGCGAGTTTCTCGTCGTCGTAGAAAAAATATAGTACGCAACACGTTTGGTAAACTTTTTAAATCACTTGTGACTCTTATCTATTCTTATCAGTTTTGAGATATTTGTTACTAACATATAGAAATCACATCTTAAATGCAATCACATTTAATTAAAAATATTATAAATTTGCTATAGACTTCAGCTCGGTTTTGTTTTAGAATATGAATAAATACGTTCGTTTGGAGTTGTTAATGCTAATCGATTCAAATGACGTCAAAAAATGCATTTTAAACGTCTATCTATTGTATACAACACATTATGGTACTGTCCTTTCAAACACAAAGTTACAATTAATTCTTTAAAATTTAAATTCGATATTTTGTTCTTGTTTCGAAGCACGGTGTCGGTCAAAATGTCAAGGAAAGTAACAACGACAAAAACTACAAAAAAATTCATTCAAAAAAAATAAAACTTGACAAACATCGGGTATGGTGGATACTTGGCGTACCCACCTGCAAAAAATGAATTTAGTTTTTTTAAAAAGATTCTAAAAATTGCACAAGAAATGCAGGGTGGATACACCAAAAAAGGGAGTACAATAACAATGTGTTAGTGTTAGCAGTTGCCGGACACAATCATGAGATTGGACAAACTAGACTAAACCAACTACGAACTCAAATTCTTCTACCAATCTCCAAACAAACAAGCAATCTTAACCCCGACTCATGTGTTCTCCTTTCACCAATATGGGAGTCAGTCATCCGAGACAATGTTCATGCCCCCCTTAAAGTATAAAAACAATTAGAGTAGAGCTGGTGGCAGTTTCAGTTAAGCTCAACAACAACCGACGCTGGAGGAATCCAGAAGATTTGTAAATAGTATACAATGACCTGTGGAAGTTTCTTTGAAAGATTTTATTCAGATTTATTAAGAAGCTGTAAAAGATTTTTCTGATTTTTTTTTAAAGTTGTACCATGTTATTATAACATTTGCGTGGTTTTTATGGCAAATGCAGGGTAATTAGGGCGTGCGGCGGTGTTTACATTTTCCTCAAAAGATTACTAGTTACTGTAATAACTAATAATATAAACTCGGGGGTCAAATAAAAGAAAAAGAAATCTTACATTTTGTGTCAACAATATATTACGAGACCATAACCTTATTCGAGTAACCTTCTAAGAAGAAGTAAAGTAAAATATTTTCAGTTAATTTATTTTTTTGGTTGGCAGTTCTGAGGTAGTGACGAAATGCTTTCCATCAGACCTTGTTTCTTCCGTAACTATAAACTTGATCCAAAAATTCACGACACCCAGACAGGTTTGACAGGTGGATAGCAAGAGCAATTTTTTCTAAAATATATATACTATAATTTAACGTCCCAGATAGTTTGCGATTTATTTTCATTAGTGGATATTAATCCCAAGCTGAACACAGCATTCGATTCTACTTTATTACATAATCATTTATGTATTTTTTGACTCAAGTACTTAAAACTTAGATCACTAAACAAAAAAAAACAAACGTCAATAAAAAAAAATATTTTAATTACACCCTTTGTACACAAACAAATAATTTAGTTTTAAATACTCTTACTTTAGACGAAACTATAGATAATTTATGATACACTATCAACTTTCTCATGTACAGCGACGTGTTTCCTCAAACTTCGCCCATCGTAAAATCCTTTGCCGCATATTTTACATAAATGCTTCTTCTCACCAGTGTGGATCTTGGTGTGGGCTGCCATGTTCGCTTTTTGAGCAAACAATTTACCACAAAAGACGCACGCAAAGGGTTTCTCTCCTGTGTGAGTGCGCAAGTGATTTTCCAAGTGCCTTTTGTTAATACATATATGAAAACATTCTTTACACTGGTATCTTGTATCGCCTAAAAAATAACAAGTACGTATTTGTGAAAAACTATTCCACCAAATCTAATAATCCTTAACCGTTATGACTACATCATTAAGGGAAAATTCGATGAGGAAAGGCCATATTTTTTAACAAAATATATTAAGAATTTTAATTTCCTATCAAGAAACACATATACGAAACCACATTTCAACTAAAAAATGGATTTCATCTCATTAAATCCCACCTCAAAAAAATCTAAACAAAAACACTTAAAAATGATACAGTCTCTACATATATAGTTAGAAGTATAATTAAAAGTAAGACTCTGGAAAATTTCTGAATTTTTTAAATGTTTTGCTCACTTACAGAGCTAATTAAAAATTACAATCACAATTCAAAACAAAAAAAAGAAGGGAACCTTTCACCCAAAAATTTTGTGAATGAAAAAGCAATTCACAGTTGTTTTTTTGTTAATCTCTTTGTCAGACTATTTGAGTCAACTTACTGCATAATTGAGAAACGCAAGATCTTAGAAGAGAAGCATAATCACATGGGCTTTAACACAAAATTGAAAGATTGTCAAATTGCTTACCTGTGTGGACTCTACGGTGCTGATATAGTGATCCCTTACAAGCAAATTGTTTGTTACACACTTCACATGGATATATATTTTGTCCATAGTGCGATTTCATATGGATATCCAGTCCACCTTTCTGTTTATAGACCTTGTCACATAATGAACATGGAAATTTTGCTTCTACAAATTTCAAGAATTGGTTCAATTGTAGAGTTTAAATCTGCCACTCACACTGACTTACACAATTGCCAAGATTGTTTTTTACACTTAATTATTTAATTTTAATTTCAATTATTTCATCAAAATTCTTTTTAATAGTTTCAGTTATTAAGCAAATATTTTAAACATTCAGATTTTATAAACCCAAGCATTCATTGCAGCATAAAACTTTCAGACTAATAATCCGTATTAATAAACAAACCTTGGTGTGCAAATCTTATATGATCCTGCAACCTGTTCTTGCTAATGTAAGTTTTGCCACATTTCTCACAACTAAAATTTTTCGGTCCATGGAGTAAGATGTGAGATTTTAACGTCTGCTCAGTTAATAAAACTTTATCACATAAATGACACTGGTAGTACTTATCTTTGGACATGGGGTCTCTAATACAACCGGGAGGCCCACGATGAGTCTTTTCATGGTAAGACAATGTAGAATAGGAATGAAAACCTTTACCACAGAACAAGCATATTAACTTTTCTCCTGTATGCTTCCGTTCATGATCTGTTAAATACTGTTTCCTGGTGAATCCTACATATCAAAATAAGTTTAGTAAGTTTCAAGTCTATTTTCACTATTTTCCTCTTATATTTTAATTTTACTAAATATGATATCAAAAGATAATAAAGACATAATAACTAATAAATAATGTAAGACTTATAAATCAAATAATATAAGAGAAGGGTTAAGGAATGGTGTTCTTGGAAATGGTAAAAGGGTGGGTTAAAAAGTCTAATTAGTTACAGAGACAAAATCTAAATTGTGCAAATTCTTTTTTTTTGCCAACTAATCAAATGTATAATGGAGAATAAGTTAACTTATATACTAAATTTTTAATTCACCTAAGAATGACAAAAAGCAAATATAGTCTAAGTTTCAGCCCTTAGTATTAAAGGGAAGAAGTCTGATCTAATTATTGAGACAAAATAGCAAAACGATTAAGGAAAAAAAAATATCTGAATATATTTTTGTAGGAAATTATGCATAAAAAGCTCTTATTGATTAACAGAGGAACAAGTCGTTTCCACGAAATCAAGCTTTAAACCTTTTTGATTTTGGACTTTCCACCCTTGCCCCTTCCATTTTTAGAACAATAATAAATGTAAAATAACTAGGGTGGGACTGATGGGGATAGGGATTCGCGAAAACCTCAAACTGTAATTGATAGAAAAAATTTGCATTTGCCATAGATGTTGCGGTTAGAGCACTAGCAAAGGATATAGTGTTTTCAGTCCTGATAGCGCCTAATATGTTTAAGAAAAGACAAACAAATAAAAGGGCAACGAAGGAAAATTATAAAGAGATCAGAATTCATCTATATTAACAAATATCTTATACTAACGTAAAATATTGTAAATAAATAATTGCCAATAGTAAATTTAATAATAAATTTAATAATAAATTTAATAGTAAATTTAATAGTATTTTTAAAATTATTTTTTGTGAATGTATTGATGATATAACAATTTTCATGAATTTGATCCGATGAGTGGATAAAATTAAGTGAAAGACAAAAGAGAAAAAACAAGGATTTCAGTTTTGTTTCAAGTTTAATTCTGAAAAATAATTCTTAGTAAAAAAGTATTAACGGACCTATTTTGTAGGGCATTAAATTCCCTTTAAATATTGTTTTTTGTTCATTGAGATTTTTGTTTGTTACAAAATTGCAAAATAGAAAAGTTATATCAAAGAAACTTATTATCCTTATAAGACTTGATTTCTTGAAGAGGGCTTGCCTGATGAAAATTTTCAATCAGAATCAAAGCATTTTTTTTTATAGAGGCTTCAATTTCCTACAAAAATATATTCATATAAATATTCTTACTCCAATTGTTTGGTTGTTTTATCAGATATCAGCACATAACAATTCATTTTCTCATTCTGAATGATTTTATAATAATTAAAAAAAAAAATAGTTTCTGGCCCAGTCTTACCTTTATTGCAAAACCTGCAGTTATAAGGTTTAGTTTCAGAATGTAACACCATATGCCTTCTTAAATCAGTTTTAAAGTTAAAGCCTTTTCCACATGTTGGACATATATTAGGCTTTTCACCAGTATGAGTTCGCACATGCTCTAAATATTTAGAATAAGCATCATGTTTTCTTTGACAATAAGGACAAACAAACTTCAATGCCTTTCTATGCTTTGTTTCAATTTTATGGGCCCTGAGATCATCATAATTAGAAAATGATGATTGACAGGTGATGCAAATAAATGGTGGTCCTTTAGTTTTCACATAGGGTCTTTTTGGTCTAGGTAGTTCATGGGGTGACACCATCTGTGCTTTCTGCATCTTTCTTAAACGATCTTTATTTTTAACCTTTATTTGTTTAATTTCTTTTTTTATTGTTTGGATAGTATTAATGAGTTTATTGTTTTTTGCTTCTTCCTCAGGAACGTCTTCAATTTCAGAACTATCACCACTTACAAGTTCATCTGGATCATCTGGATCATAGTCTGTATCATTATTTTCTTTATTTAAACTACTATAATTTGCCTCAGTTTCATCACCATTATCTTGCACAATTTTATTCTGTTCCTCTTTGGTAAAATCAGTTTCATTAATTTGTTTATGTAAAATTTGTCTAAGCACCCGTTCACTATTCTTACACTTAATGAAGAACCCGTACATGCTAAATACTGTTTTGATGCAAGGTTTGCACATATTACTTGGCATTTGATCTTCATCTTCAAACTAAAAAAAAATATATCAACACAATCAAAAATCACGTACTGATTATTACCCTTATTGCAATCAAATTTTGTAATATTTCCTTTAACGTGATATCTTCCCACTTTATTTCGTTTATACAGAAAATATCCCTATATATTAAGCATGTTCTACAAATAAATTTAAAGGACTCTATACTCAGTGCTTCATATTCACCCATTTTGTGTAGTCACTTAATTCCAATTTTGGCCTTTTATGAAAACACTAGGAGGGAGTTGTTTTATTTCTTGTTTTCTGTGGCCTTTTTCTTCCCTCTTTCTTTTATTATTAAACAAATTTAGGAAAGAATAAAATTTTATCGCGTTTTAGTAAGGTGCTAACGAAAACATACCCCAAGAGCATAGATAAAAAGGCAAAAATCTTTACTTTTAATTGGGAAGAGGATAACGATCAAGTGCCCAAAACTGAGAGTTCTATAGGAATATTACATTTTCTTCCTTGTGTCAATTTATTTAGTTTCTGGCGTCTCCTGTTAGTTTATGAAAATGGTAGGCGACTTATTTAAACATTTACAAATGCTCGTGGCTTCTATTGACGACTAGCCTAAACTTAAGTTGAAATAAAAGAGCACTGGAACTTCAATTTCGATTTGGAGATATGCGCTAGATGGCGCAAATTAAAATTTTAAAATTTTATTAGCATTTTAAAGTTCCAGTGTAAAGCTGCCTCTCCATTTGAGAGAAAAACTCTCGTGAGTCGTTTTCGAGAGTAGTTCTCACAAGTTGATACAGTTTTGATAGCTTCTATCGGACAGGACTGAAAACTCTCGAATTCGAACTAAATTCATATTGTGAAAGTGCTCGCAGCTGAAATGGCAGGGAAGAAAGAATGGTCCAAAGCAGATATAATCAAATTAATTAGTATTTATGAGGAGAATACCATATTGTGTTGATTATCGTAAAAAAACAGAGTATATTACAAAATTTTGCAGCTAAATTCCATTGTAATTCTGAGCAGGTGCAAAGAAAGTTGCACAATTTGAGAAATCAGGTAAGTTCATAAACGGAGTGTTGTACTAGTGCGGAAAAGTACAACTTTACAACTTTCGGCATGCATTTAAGTGACTACTTTCCGCAATCTTGTAGGAAAAAGCATAAAAGGCACCGACGAAATGTTATACGAGCAACTGCCCTTATTTTTCAGCGCTTCGTTTCTTGTTACCGGTTTTCACAGCAAATCAATCTCAATCGTTAATGTCAATGTCATCGTGTTCTCAAACAGAATCAGTTGTGTTGTGTTTTTAGTATTCCTATTTATATACCAGTGTAAATACGTACGATTAACACACCGGCTGGGTCAAAAAAGTTTAAAATAAAGGGGAAATTTTTATCAGTTTTGTAAGCGTCTATTTATTTTAAATGAAATTAAAAAGAACTATTTATTATTAGGATGTACGTTTTAAGGTCCTAAACGACAATTTTCAATGTTTTGTTATTATTAATAATCAACATTATATCATTTTGTAACTATAACTTAGGAATGGATTGCAAATCTGCTGAGTCATAAAATATTCTTTAAATTCATCTCTAACTTGTTTTTGGGAAATGGTATAATTTTGTCGCGTGCCTTTTTGTAATGGCAAGAATGCATTAGTTGGGTTTGTTTTATCCCTCCAACTTCCCGGCACGAGTTTGTGAGTTCTTCCTGTTCCAAATCAACTAATCCTTGATGCATATAATTCGCTTTTGATTTATTATCTGCTAAGAAATAATTCTGAAGTACACAAATTGCCAAAACAATATTCACGAACCTCTCATGTTCGACGGCGATTGGTTTGCGAATACTTTTGTCCACTTACCTTCATGTAAAAATCCTTTAAACTCTGTAAGTTGCAGAGCTCATTTCTTTTACTATTCTGCCTATAATATGAACAGGTAGAGTGCTATAAGAGTGGCTTGTAAAATATAGTAATTTATTTTAAATTATATTCTGATACGGTACCTGTTATTTTCGTAAATCGTAATGTTACCATTACACGTTCGTAGATAGGAAAAGGTTCTCGCATTTTATTTTTTTTTAAATCTATATTCCAACTAGATCTATTATATACTGAAGCTGTACTGCATTCGTACGAACGAAATTGCGAAACTCCTACTCATCTTCGATCTGCAGCTCCCTTGTGAGTGTAGAGCATCCACCTAACTGTAATCTACGACGAATCGTAGGTTTGATCAAACATTTTCTTTTCACTTTGTGTTTTTCCTGCCTTTTAAATAAGATGTGGCACAAATTTTCTCTAACGAATTCGCAACGCACACTCGCTGTGGATTATCTGAGAGTTAAAATTCGAAAAAATACTCTCAAATGCATGAGTATCTGAGATTAGATGTCGAGAGTACCTCTCCAGAGTAACTCTCAAATGGACACCTACCAAAAGAGATGGTGGAGAAATGTTATAAGTCGCAGCTCAGTGAATCGACCCAATATAATTTGCTTGACAAAAAAACTTCCAGTTTATAAATAATGGTTGCAACTCTATTTTAGAAATTGAAATTATCGAAAAGCGTTTTCCGTGTTTCCTAAAAATTAAAGCGCATAAATTAATTCTCAAAGTTTGATCAGCTCTTTGTTATAGTTTTATTTATGATCAACACGTAGGTATATAATAACAATAACCTCTGGTTCAATGGTCCGAGATGTACAAAATTAATGACTACGATGACTGCGAGGTTTGCCCTAAGTAATTGGTTAGTTTTGTAACTTCCTGAGCTGGATAGCTTCCCAACTCTTGCTGGTAATTTAATAGCAACGGAGTTATTAACGGATAATGATATTATTATTGAAGTTTTACAGCCAAATGATCCTCCCAGCTCTGGTAACGAAAGCGACGATGATGTTCAACAGGATGAAGTACCAAGTTATTCTGAAGCGCTTCTTTACAATCCAGTGATAATGTAACTGATGATATTATGCAAGCGTCCTGGAAGGTTGAGAAGCACACCGAGAATATGAAATTTGTATTAAGAATAAATAAACAAACAAAAATAACGAATTTTTTTTACTCAAAACGAATAAAGTACATATGTGTCTTACTTGTATGTTGCAAAGTTTATATAGATAGATAAGTTTTTAGTTTAGGTAGATTAGTTTCTTTCCTTTTTTAGTACCTATATCAGTGTTTATTAGTTTTGGTTAGTTAAAATATGTACGTATCTACATAATTTTTTTTGTGTCTTTTATAGCGTACTTCCGCTTATAGGGTACTCATTTTCTGGTCCCTAGAGAGTACTTTATAAGCGGACTTCACTGTATGTCAACATTTTCCTACTTAAACACTTTGTTATCCTGATTCTTGCTCATCGATTTATAATATAGATAGGAGTAAGCTAACTTAAGTTCATCTTAACAAAAGAGGCTACCGTAACTAAATTTGGTCAGGTATATCCGAGGGTATAAGGGTTTATTAGCTTCATGTGAAAATTTTTTAAATAGATTGGTTTGGTTGATTTGACAAAAAACTCGAATAGTATTACTTAAAATGGAACCTTAGTTAATTTTTATGCTTATCAAAGTTGCCATGTGATGTATTATTTGTGTTTCTATTGTTTGTTAATTTTTTTAATTAGTAACTTATTTATTTGTATTGACGCAATATTTAATTATCAACATTTTTTTTCAGAAATTAGTTTTTAACTTAAAAATAGTTCCTATGCCGATGACGACATCCAAAATTTTACAACATTATCTCCTACAGATCTTTAAACATTCTAATCCACTTAAAAAGGTAAACGTGTTAAACAAATACAGAAAAAGTACTTTTCGATATCTATGTAACCATACTTGTAACACTAAAACACCAAAAACTAAACATTTCATTCAACCGTTCCTATGGAAAAGCCCCCTTTGTTTAACCCGTATCCAGAAATTAAGGCAAGGTTGGAATTAACTAGAAAACAGTTTTTAGTCTTTGGATTGTTATGTTTTCATTGAATCATAAAGTATCTGATGGCCTCCACTACTTTGCTGGCACATAAGCACTCTTTTGTCGAAATTTTTGATGATTTTTCCCAAACACACCAATTTTGTCGATTCATCGAGGTGGAAATATGCCTCATCGCTTGTTCATGTTCAATAATCAATTCAGTTTTTAATCTTCATTTGCGTTGTGTATTGAATTTTGTAAGTATGGAGGCACAGTGCTTTTGTGACTACGCGCTGAGTGAGTACTTCTTTAATTTTGTGATTCTTGTGTATTACGCCGGATTGATGGGTCTGGGCTTTCACCATAACTCACATCGCACTGCTTCGATTAACGGTTTTTTGGACTACCGGTGTGTTTAACATTTCCAACTGATCCAATATCCCTAAATTTTTCAATTAATCTTTTCACATACGCTTGACAATCTTAAAACACTATTTAGACCATATCTTGCGAAGAGTATGTGGTACATCACAGAGCTAAGAGTATACCGTGCTTTTAATTTATCTTGATAACATTTTAATTGGTTGTAACATTTTTGTTTTTAGAGTTATCAAGGTAAACAAAGAAACAAAATGTAGGGTTAGTAGGCAAGTTTTTTTCTAAGTGACGTATAAAACAAAACACTATCAATTTTCTGTCATATAAGCCTACATCTTATTTTTTTAAAATGAAACACCCTGTATATTATATATGTGGTTAATAGAATATTTTATTCCGATTACAATGATGTAACACACTTTATATTTTAGTTGACTGGTTTTTGACAAATCGGCAAAAATAGGAATTTTTTATATAATTTCAAAGAGTGCTCTGACAAATAAAAATATGTTTTTCTACTCTCGTCTGTAAAATACCTAATTACGCACCGATCTAGCGTGTGGGAAGCGTCGCTTTACCACGTCAGTTTCGTTTCCCACGAATCCGAGCCACTTCGGACATTTCCGGGATTTTACCGCACGGGTTTGGGAGCATCGAATGTTTTCGGAGATATTTCCCACGCTTTGAATTTTGACGTTTGTCAATTCTAACAGTAATGTCAGTGAATGTATTCATGTTTTGCGAAAGTGTACCCAAAAACTAACGGTCGTAGAAAAAGTATAGTATGCAACACGTTCGGTAAACTTTGTAACTCACTCGTTTATTAAACAATCGCTCCGCTCGTGTAAAATAAACTCGTGAGTCAAATGCCGTTTACCGCACTTGTTGCATAATATATTATTATGTTTGACATATTAGGAAACAACGTTGATGGCTGGATTATTCTTCAAGTCATTATGGTTAAAGTGGTTTTTCGCGAATTTAGCATCCGTGAAAGAAGTGATATGCTTCAAGTATACTTTCTGAATAATAAAATGCAACCGCAGCTAGTCGTCAGTATATTAGACTTTATTCAGAGCGCCGAGCTCCTTAAAAACAGATATTTC